GGGGGGGGGGGGGGGGGGGGGGGGGGCAAACAAGTGAAGAATCGCTCCAAATATGACTCGTTACAACTCACTGACACAATCCGCTCGCCTACCCGTTCTCTTGCCGAAACCTAAGAGCTCCAATTATTTTGTATTGCGAACTTCAGGTATACACTAAAAGAAAATCCAGCATGGTACCGTGATGATGTTGTTGTCCGAAGGAACATAGAAGACTGCTGATCCCGTAACAAACTGTGACCAGGATACAGCCAGGTCCAGGAATGAGGTGTGCATCATTTCTGGTACTCCATTGCCGCCGTATTTTAACACTTGCAGCATTGAGAAACTGCAATTGGAACGATCAAGGATGCATTACGGATAAAAGATCATTGCTTCGTCTAGTTCTTCCTTCTAGGAAAGCACTGCCAACAATCAAAACAAACAGCAGAAATTAAAAAGCAACACAGCTTAGTTCGAAAATTTCGAACACCACAATTATTTTAATCGTATCAACCACATTCACGAATTTTTTTTTTTTTTTCTTTTGAATTGCAGGAATCTGCTGGCAAACAAAGCATTCGGACTGACGGTAAGCTACTAGGAACATACAGTATCTAAAATATGACAATGAAAGATTCCCTATGCATCTTATTTTACTGTCTCCTGTGGTCACCATGCTGTACATTGCTCATCTAATGGTACGAGCACTTCAAGCAGCTTTAACTGCACTGCCCACTCTATCACATTCGCGGTTCACTCCCCTGCTTTCGCAGGTTGATACATCTGCTCCTGCACGTCACTGTTTTCAGCAAAGCGATATAAATAATGTGTTTGAAAGCCGATTTGGCTCGACATTTTGCGGGCATAGCATATACTATAAAATATGTGCCAACCCTCCAAGTGCACTTTCCGTCTAAAAATAGTTGTGTATATTTAATGACTGAAACAGGCGTAGCTGTGTCAAATTCTTTTAATATCTACAACCTGTTCGAAAGCATTTTCCGTTTTTGTTCATGTTCGTTTTCGATGCATTGATTTTCAGCATTATCGAATTGGAGATATGCAGTTCCCAGTTCACCTTACCAGTGTCACTCGAAATAAGAACTAAGTCATCCACAAAGCATTCGTGATTTGGTTGCTAGTCTCTGATATTCATACACCTGTTTCAATCCGGCTAGATAATTAAAGGCTCAAAGCAGTCTTTAACACACGCGTTTCACTAGCTATTTCATATCCTCATTTCGTGGTCTTACGACCATTCATTCATTCGTTTAACATTACTGACCATGCAAGTTCCACTGTTTTAATGCGTAATCTTAATATGGTCTTGAACTGGAAACGTAAGCTCTGGTCAGAAAAGACTTCTGCAGCTGTGGCTGAAATGTGGCGTCTTCCAGCTGCGAAATACCCACGGCAAAGACCACGAAAACTTGGCTATACTGCAGAGGATGGAAAAGGAAACACACCTCGAATTTATGCCAGCGTTGAGACCACCAACAATTTTATGCAGCAACACATTTTGAGCCTGAGGCGGACGTATGTACAATTTCTCGTAGCCGCTTTCTCCGTATACAGAGAATCGCCTAACACACGTGGAAGCCTGCGTTACGACGTACTTCTCTGTTTCGAGCAGCATCGAGACGTGGTAGTCCATGAAGCCTCTACATTCTGCAATTTAATACGGTATAAAGATAAGTGCTAGTTGCTGACGCCTTACTAAGCTACCACTCTGACCACATTTAAATAACCGCTAAATGATCATTTTTTAAAGCAACCTATTTACAACGAAAAGGTCATCATGAAATGGTATTTTTGGAATTATGATATTTTTGGAAAGATAGCTAAGAAGACAGAAGCAGCTATCGCAGCTCAGAATATGTACAAAAACATAAATGGCGATTTGCTATAAAATTTTAGAAAAGACAACTAAAAGTTAAGCATAATGGTTTGAAACGACCGCATGTAGTGAATTCGACCTCATAAAAGAATTTAGTCTTTTGAATTAGTGGGTCTCTACTGCAGTTCACTATTTCTCTCATCAAATAAATGTTTATGAAGAATCAGAAGTAGGACAAACTTGTATCGAGCAACGGATTGGGCATGTACGACCCCAAGTCGGTTTTGGGTCCGATTGATGAAGTTGGCAACTTTTGAACAAAAACAAAAATCACGAAAGAAGCATTTGCAGTGGCCGATAATGCCAGTTGAACGGATGCTTGTAAAGCCATCAACCAACCGGTACCACGCTTAAATAGGCATTATAAGATCTTTCGAAAGAATAATATTTGTGACTGTTCGAAAAAATGCTGTTAGTCATGAACAAACATCTGTGAAAACTAGAAGCTGAAGTTGAAAATCAACAGTCAAATCCACTTCGTAATTCGGACACGGCGAGAAAAGGAGGCCTTCACAATTAACCGCAGTAGAGCTCATGCCAATACGCAACTGCCAAAGTGGTCGATGGCTTTGTCTTCAATGGCTTTTTTAAAAAAATAAGCAGATGGAGATATTAGTTTCCCAACATGCGGCAGTGCTAGTAAACCTTCGAAATGAATGGACGAACTGTAAGCTTAATTAGCTCGATCTGAACAGGAGAACATCTACAACTTACTCAAAGAACCGATGCTGTTATGCTTACGTGAGCAGCACAGCCTATAAAGTTTTAGCAGGGAATCATTAAAATTATTCTAGTGTGGGAATTAGATCAGTCAGAAAATCGAACTATCAAAAAGATGGACATGGCTTTCTATGAATGCGCAGCCGTAAAAACTTAAATACAGCATTATCAGATGTTGAGACTTAAAAAATTTGGCCGCTAACTGCCAACTTTTTACTAGCTCGGGGAGGCAAAAAATCTGACTGGGTTGCACATAGATAGGACACCTGCTCGTAGAAGTTCAGTCCCTTAGCTTCCCTACCTGCGAATTTGAAACTGCGTGGAAAAATTTACGAACAAATATGCATGCGCGCATACACACACACCTACAACTTCTGTACATTTTTGCATTTGCTTAAATATGCATAAATGCGCAAAATGCTTTGCTGTACTTACCTGCGTCGTGAACGTTTTTTGGTAAGTGGCTCCGCCTATAGTACCAGTCAATTTGATTTTCACCAATTCGGAGCCAACAGGTATGAAATATACAGTAGTCATTCCACCAACTGCAGGCGGAGGGGCTGAGAATGCGTACGTATCACCAGCCATAGCCAGCGGCATTACTGTAAATAATTATTGTGCACAGTTTTCTTGGAGACTCATAAGAAAATGAAAAATTATAACTGTGTTGGTGCTGCGCCCGGATTAGCAAATAAGCTGAGGGATTAAGCTAATAATGCCATGCTGTACCCTTGTTCGCATCACTTAATTTTATGCACGAACCAAGTTGCTGTAATTCTGTCACATTAAGAATGCATATATGTGCTAAATGCCTGTTCTGATAACCAGCCTTTGCGCCTCTCATACAAGGTTCTTTCGATTCACCGAAAAACCTACGCGAGGCATCTAAAACCCACTGTTTAACTTAATGTGCTTACTGCGGTCATTTCCACTTTAAGTCTGTCTGTTCTGGTGGTTTTTTTGCCACGGGTACTCCAGTCTCTCAAAGTAACAGCTGTCTCCCTGTTCAGTGAGAAAAGACGTGCATTGTTGATGGAGAACTGGATGAGCCTCACAACCCCCACAACTCCCCCCTCCCCCTCCAATATTGTTACTTTGCTTCACCAAAGGTTTAAAAATACAAACCAAGGAAACTGTCGCCAGCACCAGGCACATAATTGTTAGCAAGCACAGAGATAGGCAGCGGTGAGTCGAGATAGATGCTCGTATCCACACAGGTCACCAAGCCTGAGTTATTCCGCCCCTCAGACTCGCAAAGGCCTAGTGATGAACTGTTGAATGCAAACTGCAACATTGAAAAGCCCTATAATCAGCCCTGTACGCTGTTATTGATGCAAGCAGAATACTGTAGTGTAAAAACGCTTCGTTTCGCTGTCTCTGTTCCCAATCACTAGCGCTACTGTGTATAATATTCACAAAGAACATCCCTCGTGCCTCTCAATTTAGCCGTGAAAAGTGAGTGGAGAACCAGACAATGCTCTGCTGCACATAGCACTGCTTATTTTAGGAGTGCAAAAAATTTATCTTTGGGAAACGACTCTCAAATATAATCCGATAAAAATCACGATTTTTAGCTTTTCTTTCAAAATTGCAAAAGCGTAAGAGAATAATATGGGCGCAATTATCCTTTTTCGCAATAAGTCACTGCAAATATCAGTTGGTTATTGAGACAATGTAAACAGGACCTTGGCATATTCAGTTTTTAGAAGACAAAGCATGGAAAGTAACAAAATTTCGGATCTACGGCATGCTCTGCACTGGGCTTAAAAGAGCCAGTCTGCCGCTGGACGTGTAATCATAATGAGAAATCTAATAGCCGATTTCGGAAATTACGCGG